TTAATGTACCGATGTAGAAAACGGTACTACGTAAAAAATGAGCACAAGAAACGTGTCTCGAAGCAGTGCAATTTTAAGAAAAGTGGCAAAGCTGGCACTTGGTTCGGAAAAAGTCATCTTGACGTGGCAACAATATGTAAAATTGTTGCTTGCTTTTTAATGATAAAACATCCACGTCAAGATGACACGCAAGATGAAACTGGCGTTTCGTCGACCACGATTGTTGACTGGTTCAATTTTTGCCGAGAGGTAATTATATTTTAACATATTTTCATAAATACACGCATGCACGTACGCACGCACGCCGCACCCACGCGCACACACACACATACACACATGTAAAATGTATAAAACAAAATATTAATAATATTATTTTTTCTTACAGGTCTGTGTGTTCTGGGCTGAAAAACATAGTGAAAAACTTGGTGGCCCAGGATGCATAGTCGAAATCGATGAAGCAAAAATTGGAAAAAAAAAATACAATCGTGGTCGGCTCGTAAAAGGTCAATGGATTTTCGGAGGATATGAGCGAGGCACAAAGAAGATTTTTATCATGCCAGTACAGGATCGAACTGAAGAGACACTTCTGGCGTGTATTAAAGAGTGGATATTGCCAGGCACTACCATCATGTCAGATTGTTGGAAGTCCTATAATTGTTTAAACAATAAAGGCTTCCAACATCTGACAGTAAACCACTCATATGATTTTGTCGATCCTGAAACTGGTGAGAACTTTTTGCCATAGTTAACTATATTATTACTGTTTATTTGTATATTGTTCTGATACATTTTTTAAATTTACAGGCGCGCATACGCAGCATATAGAGCGTGTTTGGAGAGAAGTTCGCGGAAATATCCCAAGGTATGGAACCAGGGAGGATCATGTCCTTGGATATTTGAGCGAATATCTCTTCAAACGCGCCTATAGCCGCTTGGAGCGCATAGAAATCTTCTTTGATGTCATCGCAGAATTATATCCTCCGACATCCACTTTTGAGGACCAGCCAGAAGCATCTGATGACGAACCAAGTACCAGCACTGCTTAGAGATACGTTTTTTGTGCTCATTTTTTACGTAGTACCGTTTTCTACATCGGTACATTAA